AAGGTTTGTTGAAGCCAGGGCTCGGCACGAGCTGGCACCAGGAAAATTTCGAAACGAAGTCCCGTTTGATCTTGTAAATTTCATACGAAGTCCCCTTTGACCAGTTTTGAAGACAGATCATTATTTTTGGATTCTGTAAAAGTATGTAGTAGGGTTTTCATGCATGCTGATTTCATGGAACCATTTTTCACAAATTTTTGAGCTTTTTATGTGGTTGAATCACATCTTGAGAAGCAGAAAAAGCCGATTTTTCGATTGCGGAGCAGACTGAGTAATTTCAAAATTGCTATAAAACGCTGAAAAGAAAACATTATGAAAATGTTTCTTCTCTGTATGTAAACTTTTACAGTATAGATATCTTTGATTCAACTGGTTTAGCTCCGTCAGGGCAGGCCGCTCGCGCCCGCGACGCACCTGCGTCTCTCGCGCGCGAGTGCTCTCTGATCATTACCTAGCCTTAATTAGGTCACGAAGCCTCGCTTTTGCCGAAGCTCAGCCAGTTGAATCAATTGTACATTTTATGTAAAAAAGTATGAAAACTTATGTGAGCAAAGTGTCGGTGCTAGCTCAGCTGGCACCCAGCTGGCACGTGCCAGGTAATTCAGAAAAAAGTTCGGCACAGCTTTCATTCACATAGGTTTTCACAAAATTTTGGGCTGTAGTTCCGGTCCACCAACGCGCATGCACACACCAAATCTGGTGTCATACTATTGCATTTTGGCTGAGAACGAGGCCATTGTTTGTTGATGGACAGCATGCTGGTGGCGTGCCTGCGGCATTCTTGCGGCACTTCTCCGCCGCAGACTCCAAAAAAACGATATTCCTTTTGCCCCGCCCTAAAAACGATATCCAGCTTGACCCGGTGCCAGCTGTGCCGAGCCCTGGCTGAAGCACTGTATGGAATGAATGGATCCGCGAACGTGATATCTTATCGCACCGCATCGACTAATTGTAAGTCCATTTTATTCGCACGAACCATTTCGCGGGGAATTTTGTGGATATCATTCCAGATTTGAAGTCATGTTAGGCCCCGGACAGACTTCACGCGATTTGATCGTCGCGACTGAATCGCGACGAGACAACTATTACAACATCATTCCATGCCGATCAACTTGCATTTCACTTGTGATACTTTTCCAGCCCGAAATTTTTGAATGTGAAATGAAAATGAATGGAAATGTCGGCGATTGAGTCGCGACGATCAAATCGCGTGAAGTCTGTCCGGGGCCTTATATGGTTTTATGCTACATTTGATGGTAGCAGCTTGTTTGGGTCGGTCGCATCGGTTTTTGACCATTCCCTTGTTAGAATGGAAAATGACTAGGAGATTTAAGGGCAGGGCATACTTCACGCGATTTCAGTCGCGACGCAATTTGGCAATATTCCAACTTTCCAGTAATTCCAACTCAATCGATATCGATTTTATCGATATCGACTTCTGCTAGGTTCGATCTACGGGGCTAGAAGTTGTCCAGAGGTAAGTGAACTTGCTTATTACGAATGCTATATTAGTTTTTAAGATTATTCGTTAGTTTTATCAGTTTTATCGATCTTTTTGCAAAGTTTGACGGGGCTGGGAATTCGCACGGAGGTGTGAGCATGCTGTTTACCAACACAGCGGGAATAGGAAATTGGCGCGTAGAAATGGGCACAGGGAAAGGTTTACAGGGTATGGATAGGACCTTTATCATAGTTTGACAGGGCCGGGCGGAGTAAGCCAGCTAGTACTACGTAAATTTAGCTTGCACTACCGAATTGCACTTGAAGCTAAGCAAATGACTTTGTAGGAAAAAAGCTATTAACGATTGAACAGCACTTATTTTAAAATCCTGTATTTGTATACCATCTGGCTTCGCTCGGTCCCCTTCACATAACATGCCAGAAGTCTTCACGTCCCACTGCACACTTTACGGAATTTTATTGTTGCCGTCTACTAATCCTGCTCTCGCTATGTTTTCGTAATCAGCATGTTCGGTTAGCCCTCTTCATCAAATCTAAGCTCCTCATGCCAAAGACTGCAAGGAAGATAATCTCGATGATGGCTATGGATAATTTTGAAGAGGATCATTGTATTCATCAGCAGGCTCGTTTGTACATTCTACCATCTCTCCGCCTCGTACCCGAAAGTTTGCTGGAAGGCCAAATAGACCGTTCCGGAACCGAGAGCGCATTTGTACAAAAGTCTTATAGATTACCTTATAAATAAATATACCTCTCGAAACTTGCCTTATGTGTTTCAGCGTTTCTGAGCTTTATCCTGGATGGTACCATCTTTTTTTCCAGAAATAGTGAGATTTGAGCATTTCTCAGGTTTCTCAAAAGAAAATTCAACGTACAATATAGCCTCTCTCGGCTCGATTCTATAAAGTGGGCTTGAAGTTTATATGAAGTTTTTCGATAAGCCGTTTGTGAGTACAAAGTGTGCGTAATTTAGGTTTGACTATTTTGGTTTTCTGTCTACAGAAGAGGAACGCCTCGAGAATGAGGCCCGTTCCTGTTTTGCTTCTGCTTAATTGCCGTACATTCATGACTTTGAGTTTAGAACTTGCATCAGTGAGTTGACTGAAACTGAGGTAGTAGTGAAGACTGTACACGCCTTTTTTCCTTTCACGGGCTTTTATCGATGTGAACTCAGAAATTCCCACTTCCCATCCCTCCTATGTTAGCGTGAGAATGCTGTTATGAGCGAGATGAGGAACATCAAGTCAGACTCGCGCTGCATGTGCCCGCGGAGATATCTAGGGAAACTGGCCGGCACACACACTACAGTGCTGGCCAAAATTATAGGTCCACTCTAAAAAATGCCATAACTCACTCTGCTGTGAATGAAATTTTCCAAAATTTGGTACGATGTGTGTTTACCAGCCTACTATCAGTCTTCAAAACGGTTCTCGTTTTCGTTTGATTATTCAAGAAAAAATTAGAAACTTTGAAAAAAGCAAGCTTGAAGGCTGGCCAAAATTATAGGTCCACCTGGAGTTTTTACGGATTAAAGCACTTCTTAGCTCCCGAATTTTTTTAGGTAGGCACACCTCCAAAAACGTTAAACAGCTGCATTGGTCAAGCTGTGTCATACCTCCACAAAGGACGGATTACCTGCTTTTTTGCCTTGAAGATGCTCTCACATGTATTTCGCTCCACAAATCTGCGTTGAGTAGGAAATTTTGCAGTTTCTCAGTTGGATCGGAAGGGATGGGGTTTCATCTACCTTCTGGATGCTTTTTGACGTGAGCATTGAGGAAAAAATCCGACTTTTTGCTGCGGAAGCAAATCTGACATTGCAGTACTGCAATCCTGAGCTCGAATTTCTGCCTTCAAACTTTTTTTAAAATGTTCTCAGAAGCATTGAGTAAAGTAAAGGCATTGTTTCTATGAAGGGGAGTCCGTATACCATAGTTACAATTTTCTAGAGATCCTAGCATTCGAGTATAATTACTGAAATCACTCTGCAGAAACTGATTACGACAAGCACCAAAGCTACTTGTGGCTCCGACCAAAATTTTCAGAAGAATCATGTGCTAACATACACTACAAGCTGTATCCACTATCTAGTAACGATTACTGTCAAAAATCTAAGTGAGGTAGCACTTGGAAAGCTATTTTGGATCGCGTAACACTATTATTACGTTGCGCACACAACACATGTTTCGAAAAAGAAGCAAGGCAGCTTTGTGGACACTTGCGAATATGGCGAACAGCTTTATTCTTGTATAAAAAATGCTTCTACAATATCTTGAGTATAATGACAATGCATAAAGGGTTTTAGGGCAGAAACTGAGGCTTACTCTGCCGATTAAGCCGATGTCAGATTTGCTTCAGCAGCAAAAAGTCGGATTTTTTCCTCAATGCTCACCTTAAAAATTATCCAGAAGATAGATGAAACCCCATCCCTTCCGATCCAACTGAGAAACTGCAAAATTTCCTACTCAACGCAGATTTGTGGAGCGAAATACATGTGAGAGCATCTTCAAGGCAAAAAAGCAGGTAATCCGTCCTTTGTGGAGGTATGACACAGCTTGACCAATGCAGCTGTTTAACGTTTTTGGATGTGTGCCTACCTAAAAAAATTCGGGAGCTAAGAAGTGCTTTAATCAGTAAAAACTCCAGGTGGACCTATAATTTTGGCCAGCCTTCAAGCCTGCCTTTTTCAAAATTTCTAATTTTTTCTTGAATAATCAAACAAAAACGAAAACCGTTTTGAAGACTGATAGTAGGCTGGTAAACACACGTCTCTACCAAATTTTGGAAAATTTCATTCACAACAGAGTGATTTATGGCATTTTTTAAAGTGGACCTATAATTTTGGCCAGCACTGTATATGTAAGAAGCAGTGGTGACTGCGCTAACAACAAATCATGAAAAAATCAAAACTTGTTCACAAAAGAAACTGCGCAAGGAATACGTTCGTACTAGTAAAAACTCAGAACTCTAAATTTCATGAAAATAAAATTAGTTTTGCAAAGAATTCCTTTGAGACAAACTAATAGAAATTTTGTAAGGCTTTTTAAGAAAAAAAATTGATAAGGCTGCCACAGTTGCAGCCATTCTGTATTAGGAGTGTCTGAAGGCAGTGTCTCACCGAAATTCGGGTCGCGATAGGTCGGATTTGCTCAGTGGCCTATTTATTAGGACCTACAGTGAATAAGAGACCCGCGCAACCTCAATTTTGGTGAGACACCTTTAAATGACTGACCAGTTTGCGTTTTCGAATGAAAGGTGAGGCATTGAAGCTAAAAGCGTGTTTATAACTTCTCTGTAAAATTTGAGAAAATTTGGTAAAAAAAAAAGAAAGGGAGCATTTTTGGTGAACGAAGTCGTTGTTACTCACTATATTGACGTTCAAAGGACCAAACGTTAATTCCAAGCAAATCACAGGATATGTCCGTGTTTAACAGACTTCTCCGCCTTACAGTTGCAACACCTGCTTGATCTGAGGTGTGAGAGCTAGAAAAATCGAGCTTAATTTTACGTTCAAAAAGTCTCGCTGCCTTTTGATTTAGGTCATGATGTGACGGCGGAGGTGCTTATTGACGCTGGTTCGGACGTGAATGCACAGAATTTACAAGGGAATACACCTTTGGATCTAGCTGTTGCAGGGAATCATTACGATATTGTGGAGAATCTTTTGAAAAAGAAACCCATTAAGGAAAGCGCAAACTATGGCAGGTGCAGTGTTTTTTTATTGTGGAATAGATCGGCCCAATGCTATTCCCTAGGGTACAGTATGTTCCAATTCGGAATAGGCGAAGCCTTTAGAGCGGGACAGCGCGTCCGACTCCGTGGAGGCTTTGCGGGCGGACAGACCTGGCATTTTGCCAAGTAAAGACTGAGGGAAATAAAGAGATGCAGGCATGGGTTCTTGGCACCATGTAACATACTGTAGCTGCGAAACGTCGCGAGTTGCAAGGCGGATTGCCAATACAATTTCCGCCTAAACAGGAGCGGAACATACTGTAGCTGCGGTCAGGGCTCGGCACGAGGTGGCTAAACGAAAATGGAAAAAACAAAGTCCCCCTTGACTTTTGGGAATTTTTACGAAGTACCCTTTGACCTTCAACCAAATTTACTCTAAAAACCTGAAAAATTCCCCAAAATCCCCCAAAAAACGAAACGTCGACTAAAAAAACTCGTCAAGTCGCCAATTTTGCGTCTCTCTTCGGTCACAAAAACGAAACCCCCTTTGCTTTTCGTCCCAAAAACGATATCCAGCTTGCTTGTAAGCCACCTGTGCCGAGCCCTGGCTGCGGTAGGCGCAGCTATACAGTTGTAGCGGTAGAATTTGTCCAAAGTTGCGGGATTTTCGGGATTCACGGGATTTGCGAGATTTGCGGGAATTGCTGGACATGCGAGATTTAGCTATAACTTTTTTAAAACAACTTTGTTTGTAATCTGCGTGAAGTGGCTTCAGCTTGATGAGACGAATTTTTTGATATACAGTACGTCATTAAAGGCACCCACCCAAAATCTCGAATTCAATGTTTTTGTCTCCTTCAGGCCTTCTGAAAGCCCTGATTCCGAATATGGAGTCGAAAATCCGCGACCCCCAAAAATCCCCGTTTCGAGAACCCTCTGCAACAAGCGTAGGCGAGATAAAGCATGCAAGTGGGCGGGGCGACCGGGGGCGCCCCGCCCACATTGCTAATCCGGAGCAGATTTCTCGCTCCAGAAGCGGTCTTTTGCGGCGAAGCTTGGAGGTTTGTCTAGTATGAAGGCCCACACTAGTATGCCATCATAATCTCGCCAACCTCCATTTTGGGTGGACGGTGCCTTTAATTCATGGTGACACGGTAGGCATATGGTGATATCTTGTTATTTTTTATGGTAAGGCTTTTTTTTCACAACGTTTTCCAAAGTGCATTTCGCACTGTATGTCAAAAAGATCCAATTTTGTGATATCATCAATGATAAATGATAAAATGATGATATCAATGACAACAACAGATAAGAATGGCTTAAGCTTATGCGATCGGTTCCCACGTTCATCTTCCATGTAAGTGCAAAATTTCAGCCGAGGCTTCGGCGTGAAGCGAGTTGAAGCAAAAATGTCATTTTAGGTAAGAATTGGCAGCAACATGTGCCGATGAGAAATCGATCGATTGCTGCAGCGAGAGATCTACCATTGCACCGAGGAATAGAACTAGAAAAGCCTGTAGATACTTATAATGAGAGAAAGAGCGATAGAAATTCACACAGCGTTTCCTACAGTACTTTTCTTACCATAAGCCAAAAATGATCCAAGAATGTGATATTAGGAGTGATAAAGGATAAAATGCTTATATCAGTGATAAGGGTAAATAAAAGCTGCCCAATATTTCGCGATAGTTTTCGATAATGAGAACTTCGTACCAAAACCTGCTCGCGATTTACGCTGTAATAAATGTTCACAAAAGCCTTACCATAGAAAATAATAAGGTATCACATTGGTGACGTCGTGGGTTGGCGAACTCAGCGGGGCACTTGCGAATGCCGTGGCCGTATTCATCATTGATACCTTGAGGTAAATTTTCAAGGTAAATTCTACCTTCAGAATTTACCTCAAGGTCTTTAGTTGAATGGAAAGTCTTGAGGTAAATTTTAGACGGACTGCATTTACCTTGAGGTAAATTCTCAATGCAACTTCTAACCCTAGTTGGAGGCAAGGTTAGGAGGATACCTTTAGAGATCTATAGACTTTCGGAAGCTGGTCCTTTGCATGAGTAACGCTGTAACGTAAATTAGGTCACTGTGGAATCTTGCGAAATTTTGTTAAGATCATTGAGAGTTATGGGGGTTGAGCGCACTTAAGACAAAATTTCAGTCTATATTCTTAGAAACATACACTTTAACAAACGCGTGGATGGATGTAGTCATACGTAGGAGTTGTTCTCTTTCGCAGCATCTTGAGCATACTAGCTGTGTTTAATTATAAAGTTGAAGTTGCTTGATGAAATCACTTTAAAAACATCTTCAGAATATTAAATATCACCAAATGGTAACGTGTACTACAATGTAACCTTCGATCCCATTTCCTGACTGGTCATATCGGATTTCAAAGGATGATTTCACCAGAATGTTGTATCTCTAATACATACTGTTCTGCACTTTAGCAGAAGGAAAGAGCTAGCCGTTGAATGCAAAAAATAGACAAATGTTTCTGGTTGAGCAGGAAATATTATCTCAACTCTTCACTTACTCACAACGCACACATGTGCGTTTGAACATTTATAGCTTTGAGCAAAAAAATATTCCTAAACCCCCGATGTGACCCTTTGGGGAACCGCCTGTACATACTTTCAATGATGATGATTTTGAAGGCTTTGGAAGTCAAAAGTTTACTACTTTTGGAATAATCGGGCCTGTGTGAACTAGAAAGAACTTAGAACGAGGCAAAAAACGGCGGAATTTTACGCACCATAAAAATTCGCAAACTATTTGAAAAAACATTATCGGTAAAACCTCATCAAATAAGGCAGGTTTTAGCTCAAACCTAAAGCGACTGTGAAAAAAAACTAATTTGACAACTTGGAAGCTTTTGTTGATACTACTCTCTTGCAGTGGCGTACCCAGGATTTCCGCTCCACGCCCCCGAAAATTTTTTACAAGGCTAATTTAAATTTTAAAAAATTTTTAAAATTATTTTAATTATTTACAGGTATGATCAAGTCATTTGCACATTTTTATAACCCTATGAGTAATTTTCAAAAAGTTCGCGACCCATTCTCGGGGGGGGGGGGGTGCGCCCTCCTCTCGGTACGCCACTGCTCTCTTGATAACTGTGCAAGAAGAACTTTTCCAGAAAGGTAGGTTCCATTTGTAAAAACAATATCACGAATCTAAAATCCGATCTAACCAGGAGCAATCAACTTCTTCTTGTTAGATAAACCCCCTTTAAGCTCGAAACAGTTGCTTATATAGACTGTATAGTCTCAAAATCATTGACTGTAAAACTCTGAAACCGATATTCCAACACGTCCCTCGTGAAAATATCACGGAAATACAAAAGAAAGCAATTTACTGCAAGTATGTCATGCCATGCTCTTAATATACGTCAGTCCTAATCATCTTGGCACAGGTAAATCTAACCTTGAGAGACTTTGGTGAAAACGAAAATTATACCTTAAGGTAAATTGTACCTTGAGGTACAGCTCGAGGTAAATTGTATGCATTAGGGTTCATTCTAATATCATCATTTTAGTTGGAAGCAGAGGAGGATGAGTTGAATAAAACCAGCTTTTTCTAAGGACAGCCAAATTTGCCGAAAAGAACTCCGAAGTGTCCAAAAGCGCCGAAAAGCATTGAAAGCGGGCGAAAGCGCCAAGCGCCAGCCAGCTCGAAATAGTTGCTTATAGTTGCTCCTGAAAAATCACTGAGGTTTGCAAGCTTAAAGTTCTTGGCACGGTCAAGTTCTCTTTTTATTTTTTGGAAACAATTATCAGACTTTAAAAGGGGCCAAGCAACGGGTAAATAATGCAAAACCAAACAGGATAAGAACCTTTCAAACTCAAAAACTAAACTTATATAAACTCTTTGAGCACAGTAAAAAACAGTGATTATAATGTGACCGGCGTGATTATCTAACAATGTTTGGGTAGAAAATGCAATCTCATAACCGAAATCTGCCACATAAAGTGATTGGTACTACATTTCAGCTTTTCGGGCTTTCTCCGAAAAGTTTTTCCTTCCCAGTGGCAGGACCATTCCAAGAATTTATGTTTTAATTCCACAATTCTTAAATGAAGAGAAACCGGTGTTTTGTGCACAATAAGAACACCAATTTTTTTCGAAGTAATGTCATCTTTACAACAAACCCACTTTCAAACTTTGGTTCGAATGCATAGGATTCAACAAAATTACACTTTTGCAAAGTTAGGCTGAAAGACTTTGCGACACCATGTACGTATTTCTTCGAGGCCACTGCAACTTGCTATCCTCCGCTTATAAGTTTCGAAAATGAGGTACAAACTCATGTCTTGTCAAAATATGTAGTTTTAACAAAGAAAATGGCCACAAATTCCCTTTAATCTTTTAAGACCTGAGACATTCTCATTTTATCGTGTTCAAACATGTAAGGGTACTTCGAACCGTCTCCCTGTCAAAACATGTCATCTCGGGTCCGAAGGACACAATGAGCAATTAATTCTGTCCTAGCAAAGTTCTGTTTGCAATAAAAAACTTTATGCACCGCTAAGACGTCACAGCTTGATCTAAATAAACGTCAGTGTATATCAAGCTGGCAAAGGTAGAATTTACCCCAAGGTACGTTGATGAATACGAATCGCTCAAGGTAGAACCTACTTTGAGGTAAAATTTACCTCAAAGTAAAATTTGCCTCAGTTCTAATGATGAATACGGCCTCCGATCTTATCCAGAGGGTTTGCGAAACAAATAGGTTTCTAAACACTCTGGGTTCGTTGTGAATACGGCCACAGACCGAACCGTGGTTCGGTTTTCGCTCCTGGGCCATCAAGTCCTCTTCCCTCCGGGACCGGTAAATTGGTACCAGAATAATCTGGGAGGATAAAAGCACTGACTTGATAATCGGCTGGCCTTCGCAAATCATCGTAAAAGTCCTGCACGTAATCACCTGCCTCCTCGATTATGAAGTAGAATGCGTTTTTAGCACGCCCGTAAGATTATCTTATTGTTCTTTATCCCTTATCATCCATTCATTGCTTCTGAAGTTGAAGAAACACACTTGTTTTCCGTACTTCTATTCTTCATCACAAGGAACAACCTTTTAGTGTGCGTAAGCAGTCAAGAATAAGCGCACTTGAAGGCGCTGTCCACCTAAATTTTCGACTTTTGTGTTTCTCACTTCTATGCCTTCTCATGTCTCTGATTCCGAATATCAAGTCATAAATCCGACAATTTCCGCTCCTCAGAACCCGCAGGGCGAGTTTTCCGAGACGGTGAGTGGCTGGATGTGCACAGATGGGAGGAACGAACGTCTGAGGGGGGGGGGGGGAGCCAACTTATGGATCCGTCATCCGCAGCGATTTCTAAAGAAATTTTCTCGTTTCGGAAGTAACTTTCGGCAGCACGAGTTGAGCAAGTATATAGTTGGGGACCCCGCTACCATTAGGCCTTAAAATCGCACCGATCCCATTTCTAATGGACGGTGCTTTCAAGGAATAACGGGTGAAGTCGCCTTTAGATCTTTGTGAGGCATCCCCGCTGAGGTTTTCTGGAGGTGCTTAGTACCCCCCCCCCCCTCCCTCAAGAAAAGGCGGCTAAGCTTTATGATCTTTTGCTATGCCGCCTCAATTTGCACTATCGCTTGGGCAGTGTCACAAAGAATGCGTTTCTGTTTGGATTGGGCTTTTCGCCTAAGCTTTAAGCCATTTTGTAGAGAATCAAACGTGGTTCCGAATCTGTCCTTATTATCTGCTGCGCGCCTCTGGACGCCGAATTGTGAGCTGTACGCTATACTTGGGGAAATTCGAAATTTTTTTCGAATATTCGAATATCGAATATATTCGAAAATTGAAAATTTCGAATATTCGAATTCGAATAATATTCGAAAATCGAAATTCTCGAATATTCGACTATCGAATATTATTCGAAATTTGAAAATTTCGAATATTCGACTTTCGAATATTATTCGAAAATCGGAAATTTCGTATATTCGACTATCGAATATTATTCGAAAATGAAAATTTCGAATCGAATAATATTCGAATATCGAATATCATTCGTTATTCGAATTTCGAATATTATTCGGTCCTCGAATGTTATTCGATTTTAGAATATCATTCGATTTTCGAATACTGACCGAATAATTTACGTCATTGAGACTGCCTATAAAAGGCCAAAACACTAAGAATAAATTGTTTCATGTAAGTGCTAAGCATTGGACACATTCTTGTGGTACAATTTACGATGGAAAAACGATTTAGTCGTGACGTGAAGAGACTTAGGAACCTAAAAGCTACTCCTGATGACGGTTGTGAAGAGATTTTTCGTACTTCAAAGAAGATTATACATACACCCTCACTGAGAGTTGCGATTGGATATACAGCGGTCCCAACAGTATGTAGATCTGTAGGCTGTGTAGGCTGACATCAACTTAGAGTATGGGGCGATTTATCAATCGCTTTTCACTGCTGTAAAATTACCGTAAGGCTGAAGCAGGTTTCAAAACATCAAGACCGTTTCACCAAGAAAAAGAATCAAAAGTGCTGAAGGTCTTGCTTTAGATTCCTAAAGACACTCACTTTATGTAAAATTTGCACTCCGTTATGTTTTTTTCAAAACTTACGCCAGGTATCCTGTGTCCCCCAGAAAAGTTCCCAAGTGCGCCAGCGTGCGTACGTGGTGCGACGCTGCCTTTCGCTCTTTTTGACACGTTTCTCCTAAGATTTCAACGAACTGCCCGAGGTTAACACGTTCAAAATAGCGAAAGGCAGCGACATGACGGTAGCCTATGAGAAATTTGCTGGGGAACAAACGATACACCGTAAAAAGTGTTTTGCAGCGCCTTTCAGAAATGTGATGCCATTTGAAAAGCTTGAAAGCTCGTGCGTAGTAAAATCAGCATACAGTAATAACACTACTGCACAGATTTTAGACCTTTTTTGGGGACAATTTTTTTGGATGTCTTATTGCAGTCGGTCTATAAGCTGAAGTTTCCTACTGTGATAACACACAATAAGAAAAACATGGGTGATTCGCTTTCTGCTGTATTTATAAGCTGAAGCCATCCCTACTGGATGTTACCCAGAAATTGGCAAAAGACTGAGAGGTATTAGCGATCAAACGGTGTGTAGATACTTTTAAACATCCCGTATACGCTATGCATATCGAATTCTCGAATACTCGGTGCTTATCGAATTTTTGAATAGTCAATTCTTATCGAATTTCCGAATATTCGGTGCTCGACGAATATTCGAATATTTGACGGACATCGAATGATCGAATGAATGACCCTCGAATATTCGACTATCGAATAATATTCGAAATTTAAGATTTTCGAATATTCGACTTTCGAATATATTCGAAAATGAAGATTTTCGAATATTCGACTATCGAATATATTCGAAAACTGAAAATTACGAATATTCGACTTTCGAATTTTATTCGAAATTTCAGATTTTCGAATATTCGACTTTTCGAATCATTCGCATTCGAATGATTTATTCGAATGATCGAATAATTATTCGATTCGGTCCCAAGTATACTGTACGCATAATCTGAATGGAATCAAGTTACGTTCCCTTCAACGCACAAATAAAGCCGAGAAAATAACCCTCGACGGCGCGCCACTTCATCGACGCCTCGGAAGGCTCTGCTTACCTGTTCCGCCTGGAAAGCACGACCGCTCCCGCATTCCACAAAAATTACAGCCATTAAGGTTTTCGTGCCAGGGCCTCCCACTTTCCGTCAAAACTCTCGTCCAAGCTGTTCTTCGGGAGGGGGGGGGGGGGTAGGGGAACGAACTCTGCCAGTTTGAGCACGTTTTCGCTGGCAACTGGTCCTTTTGCTATACTGTTGCATGTCGTTGCAAAACCAGTAGCCGCGGAGGCGGTTCAAACTGGCGGAGTTTGTTCCCTTATCCGCTTTTTGGCAAACGGATAAACGCTTCAATAACGGTCTGTTCACCCAGTTCAAAGCTCAGGTTTCGGTTCTTTAGTCGAAAAGGCCTGAAACATGCAGAAAGTTAGAAGTGCAAAATCTGCTGGGGCACTGACCTTTCAGCTATTGCAAGCAAGAATAACGGGAAACACCTAAGAGGGCAAATTTTCGAAATTCCCCACCCTCAGTCTGCAACCGTACTTTAGCACCTGGAAGTTTTGTGAGGCATAAAATTTGGGCGTGACGTGCGCGGCGTGCCTGCTGCAGCCAGAATAACTAATTATGCATCCTTATTACAGACGTACCACTCCTCTACATGTAGCCGCTGAAAAGGGTTACGACCGACTTGTTAAAATGCTTCTGCCGGAAATTAGTCCAGCCAGGAAAAACGAAAAGGGTGAAACAGCCCTTGATTTGGCTATATCTAATGGACGCGAGTTAGCGTAGTGCTGCGCTTGTTGCTTACAAACATAGCTTTGTCCTTAGGTCCGTCGCCCGCATTCTTGTCGAATCGAGTTACTGGCAAGACGTAATGGCACCTACGGATACAAAGCAGATGTCTCGCTGCAGCGAAGCAAGGACTACACCGATGAGAAAATTGATTGACAAGTTTCCGAAGGTCGCAAGACTTGTCTTCAATAAATGCATGTGAGCTCATCCTTATGCAATTCTTCCTAACAAATTAACGAATTTTAGAAAAACAAGGAAAGATCCCAAGTCACCACTGAAATGGAAATACTACTATTTCAAGTACCTCGACGACACATACATGATGCCTTCAAAAGATGGAACAGGTTTGACACAAGTAATTTACTGGCGATAATCGAGTTGCTGCTTTGAAGAGCTTACTGCTAAGATCGATCCTTACGATGAAAATGGGAGATTGAAAATTGAAGCGAAAGCCTACTCAGATGACTACGATGTTGTCTACAAGTGCCACCCATTAAAGATGATGGTAAGACAGAGCGAATTATCATACAGTCTCATATATTCACCAAAGGTCTGTCTGTATGTCTGTCTGTATGTCTGTCTGTATGTCTGTCTGTATGTCTGTCTGTAAGTCTGTCTGTATGTCTGTCTGTATGTCTGTCTGTATGTCTGTCTGTCTCTGTCTGTCCCTGTCTGTCTCTGTCTGTCTCTGTCTGTCTCTGTCTGTCTCTGTCTGTTTCTGTCTGTCTCTGTCTGTCTGTCTCTGTCTGTCTGTCTGTCTGTCTGTCTGTCTGTCTATAATTTTATCGATTTTTTGCAAAATTTGAGCTACGGGGCTAAGAGTTGGCACAGGGGATTAATCAAACATGCTGATTACAAATATCTTATTGACGGGGCCGGGTTTGCCAACTAGTCATCTTATATATTAGGTTGATTCCAGTGGCGGTACCAGGATTTCCGTCCGAGCAGGGGGGAGGAGGCGGCAAAAAACTTTCAGTGAAGGGGCGTGGCGTTAGCCAAGCACTCCGAAAAGGTTCTCAAAGTGCTTCTCAAAATTTTTGCGAGTCCGCAACCTCCAAAATCTGGAAAAACCCAAAAAAAAATTTACAAGGCTAATTTTAATTTTTAAAAATTTTCAAAGAATATTTAGTTGTTTACAAGAATAAACAAATCACTTGCGTATTTCTATAATCTATATAAGTGATTTTCAAAAATTTCGCGATCTATTCTCGGAGGTGGGGAGAGGGCCTCGGTCCGCCACGGGGGGTAGGCGTTATGGAGCAATGCAGCGCCGCATTCCCCTGCGGTATATCCTAAGGGCAAGTTGCGTAGCGTCGCCTTTAATTGCAGCCGCAGGAGTGCGCTGCTCCTGACAGCGAATTGAGCTATTCCTATTGCTACGCCTTGAGATGATTTCCTAGCAATAAATGCAACAAAGGTATCAAAAATCGAAAAAATAGATGAATTTTAGGAATGCGAAGGCTGAATCTCGGATGAAAATGAAATTCTGATTTCAAATTAAAAGGCTCAAGAGAAGTGTAACACGAGAATTAGTAGAGAAAAGGGACAGAAATTTTTCGTCATTAACTTTCCAAGTTTTTACCTTCCCTTGGGTAGTGCTTTATATCTTCTTTCTCATATTCTATCTACTCAATATTCCATTTATCCTCCGCATTTTGGTCTTCTTATGGAAAAAAGAATTTGGAGAATGGCTCAACCCGCTGGGTAATGTACTTGGGTCCGAATCGAATAGAAATTCGATCATTCGATAAAACCTGTATCACCTGTATCACCTGTATCCCCGTTGATCATCGTGTTGCACGAGCGGGTACCAGTGATGCCTCCATTCGTCCCTGTCTCAGGCGATTGTTGACCAATGTTTACGTATCGCACCAGGAACACGTGGAACGCTCTGAAGGACTTCATTAGAGAACTTCGTGAACATATCTGACCATCGCGTCGGCGGTCTTCCTCGTTCGCGTTTGACGTCCAGTGGTATCCGATCTGTTACAGCTCTCGTCCACCGGTTGTCGTCGAAACGCATTACGTGCCCGGCCCATCTTATCTTGTTCTGCTTGGCGTACGCGGCAGCGTCCCTGATCTTCGATCGTTGACGTAGGGTAGAACTTCGTAATCCTTGCCTCACTTGCGTGAGTCGATTCACTCCTAGCATCACTCTCTCAACAGCTCGTTCGATGACGCTAACCGCGTGTTCATCCTGCTTTCTCATTGTCCATGTTTCTGAAGCGTACGTCAAAGCAGGAAGAACCGTCGATTTGAAAAGGTGGGCGCGGAGCCGGATGTTCTTGGTCTTCTTCACTACGTCCTCAATTGTCTTATATGCTCCCCATGCTGCACGTTTCCTCCTGCTCAGTTTCGGAGCTAGATCGTTCATCATATTGAGTTCACGACCTAGGTAGGTGTAGCTTGAGCATTCGGTGATGTTCGTCCCGTTGAGCATGAAAGGAGCATCAGGCACTCTTCCGTTCCTCATGAACATCGTCTTCGTTAGATTCAGCCGTAGACCGATCTTTCCACACACTTCGTCAAACTGGGCCAGCATTTGTTCCGCCTGCGTGATGCTTGGTGTTATCAATACGATGTCATCAGCAAAGCGAAGGTGGTGTAGCTGCCGGCCGTCGACTTTCACTCCCATGTTGTCCCATTCCATCTTACGCATGACGTTCTCCAGAGCGGCATTGAATAGTTTCGGCGATATAGTATCGCCTTGTCGCACGCCTCTCTTCACGTCAATGATGATGTCCTTGTAGAATGGTGTTATGGTGGTTGTGAAGTCGTTATACAGCTCACGAATTATCTTGATGTAATGAGTCGGAATACCTTGATTGCTCAAGGCATCGATGACGGCTTCAGTCTCAACCGAGTCAAAGGCCTTCTTCAAGTCGATGAAGGTGAGACAGAGCGGCATCTTATACTCTCGTGACACTTCAATGAGCCTTGACACCGTGTGTATGTGGTCGATCGTGCTGAATCCTCTTCGAAACCCAGCTTGCTCGCATGGTTGTCCTTCGTCCAACTCTCTTCCGATCCTGTTGAGAATGACTCGCGTAAAGAGTTTGTAGACTACAGACAACAAGCAGATAGGGCGATAATTGCCGATGTCGCAGGGATCTCCCTTCTTGTACAGCAACACGGTTTTGCTGGTCTTCCATTGCCTTTGAACCTTGCCTTCCGTCAGGTACCGCGTGAAGAGCCTTGCCAAAGTCTTGATGAGAACTGGCGAAAGATTCTTCAGATGTTCTGGCTTAATCCTGTCGGGACCGGGTGCTGTACGGTTTTTCATCGATATGATAGCATGACGAATCTCGGAAGGAGGAACAGACGGCGCGACATACTCGTCCTCCTTGAGATGGCATGGTGGAAGGTAGACGTGGCTCGCAAAAAGATCCGAGTAGAAGTCGTGGATGACCTTCTCCATTGATCTTCGGGAAGCAGTTATGGTTCCGTCAGGACGACGAAGTGCGGTCATCTTTGTCTTGAAGTTGACGAAGCTTCGGCGGGCGTTGCGTATACTTCTTCCAGCCTCCGCGGCGTCAACCATCACTGCTACTCTTCTCTCCTTAAGGTCTTCTTTTATCGCTTCTCTGCATCGCTTCGCAAGCTCGGACGTCAGTCGGTAGTTGTCTGTGGCTCGTGCGCGTCCACGTTGGCGTATCAGCTCCAAAGTCCCCGTGGTGAGACGCCTTCTCGTACTTCTTAGACTCTGAGCTTCCTTGGCACAACCGTGGAGATGTTGTACGAACCGTTCGTATTCTTCGTCGATGTTGTCCATCACGGTATCTCGCCATGAGCCGGATATCGAAGAAAACAGATCCCAGTTGGTGGTATTCATGGGACGATGTTTCCTGAACTTGACGGCTCTCTCTCCATTTCGCGGAAAGTAGAATTTGGCGCGCAGGAGACGATGGTCTGATCCCGTGTAGAACTTCGGAACAACAGCGACGTCCGTCAGGCAGTACCTTCTGTTGACGATGATGTGGTCAATCTCGTTATGGTACTCTCCACCGGGCGATTCCCAGGTCCAGCGTAGGGAAGAGGGCTTTTGGAACTGTTAGTTTCCATGGATAGTCCTCGTCGTTATGATAAACTCGGACAGTCTCTCCCCTTGTTCGTTCCACTGCAAACCATGGGTTCCGATGTGAAGTTCTTCAGTCGACCTTCTAGTTCCGATCTTCGCGTTGAAATCACCGACGATGATCTTGTAAAAGGTATGATCTTCTCTGTAGAACTTCTCCAAGTCCATATAAAATTCCTCGAGTTCGTCCTCGTCGTAGCTGGATGTTGGGGCGTACGCAATGAAGACGGTCAAGGCAGGGATTGATCCACATCTTGATATTCGCAAACGTCCGATTCGAGTTGTAAGTTGTTCGAACGAATCGATGTTCATGACCAAACTCGTGTTGACAAGGACTCCCACTCCACCTACTCCTCGACTGTCGCATGTTCCTAGAAACAGTTCTTTTCCAGTCTCAAATGTGGCGTTCAGCGGGTGGTGCCTCCTTGTCTCGGTCAGTCCGATGACGTCGTACTTAATCTTCCTTGCTTGCATCATGAGATCTTCGATAGATGCGTCCGATGCCAGCGTCCTCGCGTTGTAAGTACAGATCGTCATCATAGTCCGTCTCGTTTTCGGCAGCCTAGATCGCCTTTCAAACCTTGTCCCCACTGGCGCTGCCTTACCAGTGGCTCTTCCAAGATTAAAGGAGCTTTCCATATTATCACTGTGTCGAACAAGAATTTACTCGCAGGGATAGCTTGTTGGGCTCAAAACCCCCGCGAGGGACGATCGGAGCTTATTTGTTGGAGGCGACTCCGAACTCGCCTCCCCACACACCTACCCGGGAAACTAGGGCGCAAGCTTTTAGTGGAGGCAGGGAGTCCGTCCCCCGGCTCCGCTTGCTTATCAGAGCAGGCGCGGGGTCGCTTTTGGTCGGCGATTATCCCCCTATCCGCCACCTGGGGACGCCCCACGTAGCCTCGCGACTAACCGGCTGTGATCCCTCTATGAGGGAGATCCGTGGATAAAATTCGATTGATTGGATTCGATAAAACATTCGAATATATTCGTATTCGAAATTTGATATCGGAGTTCTTCCATTTTCGAAAAATATTCGAAACTCGAATAGTTGAGAAAAGGGGGGTTTCGAATAAAATTCGAAACTCGAATAATCAAAAAACAGGGTTTTGAATAAAATTCGAAAACTCGAACAATCAAAAAACGAGGATTCGAATATCATTCGAAAACTCGAATAATCAAAAAAAGGGGTTTCGAATAGATTTAATTCGAATGTTTTATTTGAATGTTTATTCGAATTCGTATTCGAATGAACTCCGTATTCAGATTATTCGACTTTGTTGCAGAGCCAACTGCTGAGTATCAAGCTCACTTCGTTCGCTTTTTCTTTTGCAGAACTCGGTTGCATCTTTTGCAACCGTTATGACCTTTGAACTGTATGGAGTCGCAGCCGCATTCTTCCAACTGCTCGACAGTAAAAAAATCATATGTGGATTTTTATTGATGCTTTTTTGATCAATGAGATTTTTCGCACTGCTATTGGCACCAAATCAGTAAAGAATCTATCAAATGCAAGCTCATGTTCCGAGTTCGTATATTGAAAGTGTTTTGAAATGCCTGTTTCCCTTTCTTTGCATTGCTCATGCTTGTGGTACTCTAAGCTCAGCTCTAGTGAGCACTCTTGATCGCATAAGTTATATTGCACAACTGCCTCTATTCGCTACCTTAGAGATTTTGTGCGAATTGGTGTGTTTTGAGTAAAGGACATCGCAGTTGCAGTGGAGGATTAGACGGTTTAGATCGTCGTACGCGATTTGCCAGTTACGAGATGTCTTCAAATGTAACGCCAGCTTACCACAAATGTTTAGCGTGTACAACTCACTAAAAAGATGAATGCCCTGCATTCTGTACTTCTAAAATAAGTTTTGGACAATTTGACTTTGCCAAACCACTTCGCCACTGAAATGCCTGCTTACTTCGCGGAATATTCGAATTCGATTTTTGGAGAAGTTTAAGCTGCGGGGCTGGGAGTTTGTACAAGGAGGATAAGTGAGTATGCTGATTATGGATAAAATTTACTTTATATATTTTGTCGATTGTGGAAAATTTTTGAGCTAGTAGTTGGTATAGGGGATACGAGGGTGCTGATTATGAATGGATCGGCTTTACCCAGATGTGTCGGCAAGTTTGAGATATGGTTGCTCTAGTTATTCGATAAATCATTCGAAATTCGACTTCCAATGTTCGAATATATTCGATATTCATTCATTCGATATTTTTTATTTTCCGAATTTATTCGGGAATCATTCTTTCGAGAATTTTTGAACCTCGAATTTATTCGAAATTCGTTTATTCGAGATTTTTTATTTTCGAATTTATTCGATATTCGTTTATTCGAAATCCTTCCTTTTCGAATTTATCCGATATTCATTCATTCGATGAAAAATCTTCGAATTACCCAAGTATACAGCTTTGCTCCATAACGCCACGCCGCCGGTCCGCCACTGGTTGATTCATAATTAGTGCACTTTCTCTACATTTCATTCGAACCAACGTAACCCTTTTCCGGAATTCTTTTCCAGGCTCAGTAAGAACTGTGTAAACAGCAGATCTTTGGCTATACAACACCTGCTCTTATGTGACTAAAGCCTTTGCAGGAAAGGTTTTCTAGCCTGAAGATTGCCGAGAACTTTTGCACACATGTACTTAGAGAGCATGACTTACTCTGAAATAAAGTAGGATTGGCACAATTTGCTCGTCGTGTATCGTCGTCTCCCCGAGTACGTTGGGCGGAGCCTTTGCAGACATTCTAGCGTTGGTGAACTTGTCAAACCTCTACTGCAAAGCATGGTTCTTTGTACCCTCTAAAGTGCCACGTAGATATATATGCTGTTGTCATACGTGGCCGAATTGATAACCAGAGATCACAGAAAACAATGCCTTGCGTAGAGGATTGACAAGTTCACCTACGTGTTAGAATCTCAGACAATCAAAGGCTCTCATGCCCCACCAAAAGCCCCGTTGCCTTATCGCCGCCACTTTCGCTTCCCGCTGAGTGACTTTGCTGGAACTGACAGCGAGCGGGCTATCATAAATTCTTCAGCGCGAGATAAAAAAAACGTGCAATGTGAATCAACCTAGTGTCTGTCTGTCTGTGTGCACGTTTCATATAGGAAATTCTAATTCTGCAATCCAAACCAAACTTGGCTATACTTCAAGGCAGTACGGGTGTTGTAGCCCACTTCCGGTTATCGACTAATGTGGATTACATCGATTTTCAAACTTTGAGCTAGGGGCTGGGAACTGACACGGGGGTAAGTGAGTATGCTCATTGCGAAAGCTGGAGGCAGGATACTAGCATAGAGGTCGGACCTGGACAGGGAATTGCTGTACGGAAATAGGGCATGATAGTTTCAACCATAGTGACAGGGCCGATCGGAGCCGGGATGCCAGCTAAATAATTAGGAGTACCGCAGTATACAATAAATGACTTCAACACCTCAAACACTGAAACGGTTTGCATACTACCGCATAGACTTAGCTCACATTTGTTTGCGAGAAGCGTACCGGAACATGCATCTGCAAATATGCTTCATTGATGTTTGAGCCTGCATTCTACCACATTCACAGCAATGTGTTCTGCTGCTCTCCTTGCCTGGTCTATGGCAAAGTTACGATAGGTATGGGAGATAAAGTACAGACCAATGCAGCCGACTAATAGAGAGATAAAAGTCATTTGCATTTTGCATTTGTATAGTTTTATACGTATAAAAGAGCGCGCTGCTCGCGCTTTCGATCACCTAACAATTTCTTGAGCTGAATTCTTGCATACACAACGTTAATTGCATTCACGGTTTGGTTAGGTTATTCATGGTTCATGGTCTCTATTTCTTTCTTCACGTCTTCAAGGGAAGTTGAATTGTTGCTTACAAGTCCGTGATAATTGCATCCATGGTTGTCATCATCTCGAAACAACTTTTTTCATAGAAACTTTGTTTGGAGTGTATCCAAGCCAAACACCAGTTCAAAAAGTTTTTCAAATAGTAAATTGGTACACGAGAATTTAGGCCTCAAAACTTTTTCTGGCACGTTTGTCAAGAGCAGGAAAGCGGATTCCGATCGCAAGGGGAGCAGACAAGAACTCGGCAAATTTAAAGTTTTATCACTTTTCACGCCTTTTCACATAGGCATTTTGGAACTTCGGGCAACCCACAAACATGAAAAGGTCGCTGAACTTTAAGGTCTGAAGATTAAATTGCTTTGGACTTTGAGTGGACTTCTAGGATACTCTATGGCAGTTAATCATTTGCTGATGCTCAGTGAGGTTTACACCTGGCCATCTGAGCGCTTAACAGAAAAACATTTTTAGCTGATGTGATTTTCGAGCACGAAAGCACGGAATCAAGCAAACTTTGATCTATATCTGCGACACGTTGAACTCGACCGAAAATGGCATTTAAATACGAAGCTAAGTGAGAATTACTCTATGATGCTGTGTGGACTTGCAGGCAAATGCGGAAGAGCAGGGAAATGCGGAAAAATTTAAACTCCTTTCTGAACCGCTAGTGATTGCGCTTATCAATCACAAATGGAACAGTCTCGGAAGATACGTTTACTACTCAGGCGAGTTTGTCTATTACTTGATTTGATTTTGTAAAAAAAAATTAATTTTTAGCTTTGATGGTTTATACTGTTTTCATGGTTCTTTTCACTCTTTTCATCACTTATACTCCTGCCCCGTTCAATGTGTACGACGCAGATAGGAACAAAATGATTGATCTGAGCGCATATCTCTATGCGAAAAATGCTACATGCGAGGAAGTTGTAAGAGCAACTCTGTTAATAAGTTGTCACAAGTTCAAGCAATACTAACAAACGTTTTTGTTGAATTTGGTTAAAGAAAATTCCTATTTCAACACCCACAAAATGCGAAAATGTTATAGGGATTGGTACGAAAAAAATGGCTAGTAGACATGAAGTGGATAGTGATCGGCTTAGCCATCGTCCAGCTAGTCAAGGAGGTGAGCAAACTGAAGAGAGGCTTTGAAAGGTAGTAGGTACCATTCAAAGCCTCTCTTCAGTTTGTTTTGTTCTAGTTGTTCCAGCTGTTCACACGACGTCTCGGGTACATCAATTTCGATAATGCCATCGAGTGCTTCGTATACTTGTCAGCAATTGTTGTAGTGTCAGATATATCGCCATGCTCTGAAAAAACCGGTCTGAGGATGGAAAGTCTTTCCACTTTATTTCCTAGTCTTTCACGATCTGTGCGACATCGCTTTTATTTGCTATTTCAACGAAATTATGGCCTTTGTTGTTTGAACCTATAAAGTCATGGATGCATAACATCTCCCTCCCCCCCCCCAACCTCCCCCAGCCCCCTCCACCCTCTCTCAAGAATGGGTGCGTCAAAGAATTCTGTGGATCTGTGTATTAGAAAATTGTGCTAATAATTAATTTTCTTTCATGAACGATCAAACTTTCGTTCTTTACAGATCCAATTGTAGGAATTACAACCCGTAGGAATTTTTCGTGGACGTGGCTGTCCCCCTTCACTTGCTTCCCTTCACAATATCGTGGTTTGAAACTCGCATAAATTTTCAAAAACATCTCAGTGTAAGCCACTTCATTCAAAAAATTCGTCTTCCTTCCCCCCCCCCCCGCACCCCACGAAGAGAATTTGCCGGAGCTCACCGATATATAGGTATTACAAAGGTGGTCAAAAAATCTTTGTTAGCCAGAGTATATGAAAGTCATTAGAACCAAATAGGTTTACATCAATGTATTCAGTAATGGAAACTGAAATGATTTTGACCTTTATTAGGTCGTTGAGTAGGTTTTAGGAATTTTTCAAAATTGCCGTTTTTTCAGAACTGGCAGTGGTATCTTGCCTCCGTCTGTGCATTTTTATCTTGGATGAACTTGTTGCTGCTCATTCGGAAACTGCCAATGTCAAACTCCCTTTTGGCTTGTATAAACTTTCTGTTGATTTCAGTCTTGATTTTAGATTTGGAATTTACGTTGTAATGTTCTTTGATATCCTTAAGACATTTTCACGGTTTTTCATCATCTTCGTGCTCTTTGTCGTGGCTTTCAGCATTGCATTTTTCGTCATCATGCAAAATAGGGTAAGCCTAGATGCAAGCGTCCGCATTGTAATCGATGTGGTAATGAATCCCATTACAGCCCGAATTCTCAACCGTACCTTCGGCTGTGCTAAAGACTGCCGTAATGATGATTGGTGAGCTGGAATTCACCGCAATCTTTCATGGAGATATGCATGTGCATCCGCAAAGACTATTTGACCCTGAAATTGCTTATCCGTTATTCCTCTTCTTCTGCGTCATCATGACTATTCTTTTGATGAACTTGCTGGTACCTCACAATCAAGAATTATTCACAGCTATGCTGCTATTTTTAGGTCGGTTTGGCTGTAGACGACATTAAGGGTGTGCAAGACAAAGCCGAATTGAAACGATTGAGTATGCAGGTGAGATCTACTGTTAACAAATATAAGTTACACAACAAAGGGATTACTTAGGTGGATCTTGTGTTACAAGTGGAAGCATCGATGCCGTATTTTCGCAAGTTAACGACGCTATCTCACTATTCTACCAAATTAGGTCTTGTTCCAAGCCGTTGGGAAAGTTTGTGCAATCGATTCGGTTTCAACTACGCAGAAAAGGAGGAAGAGGACACATTAGACAAAAACGTGGGCACATTTTCCCTCAAACACTATGATATGATTTTGTTTTCCTTTCAGGATTTCGTTAACGACGTTCAGCAATCATTAGATTCTATATCCGACCAGCTTCTTTATCTTCAGAATGACAGTGACGACTTTTATGATCGCCAGGTCCGAACCGAGGAAATGGTCCGCAAAGTACTTGAACATAACAAAATAGAGTATGAAAAAGTCGACTGGGAGAAGCCACCTCGATGACTGAGTGTTTTAAAAATTGTGTCGAGCTTTATAATATCATCTTGTAATTTCAATTTACAGAATAATGTGAGTCATTATCTTCGTTTATTTGTGAAGAAAAGAAATCTTTGAAACGGAATGTGCCAAAGTTTCTGGTAAACTACTGAGTATCGCAAAATAATCGTGAAAGTGAACGATTTGCACATTGAAATCCAGATTTTCTGCATAACTATACATACATTTGCATCAAGACAGATTGATTTGCAAGGGCGAATTTTTGGAGTTGTTTTGCATGTCTAGATAAAGTTCTGAAGAATAAATTATCTTGGAAATGGAATTTTTACGCTAAGCAGATCCTTTTTCAAGATGATTAACGCACCCTTTGCATATCAGATTGATAGCCCTCTTTACGCTTTTTCATGGTTTTGTAGTATTGACAGCATTACCCATCGTGTTTTCTACTTTACCAAATGAACACACTCAGATAATCACCGGGGACAGGCGACCATACGATTTATGGGCAGGCGGAAACCGGAAAAATAGTTCGCTGATTTCTTGCGGTCCGCTTGCAGGTATTTGGAAGAATTTTGGCCAGATTTTAGACGAATGCTCCAAAAACAACTGCGGCTTTCTCATAGATTAGTTGCGGGCGCAGTGGCGCATTTTGCATATTCTCGCGAACTTTCCGCGAGAATATGCAAAATTATTGGGAGCAGCACGGACCTTTGTGATGAACCGCACAGCTCGTAGGTACCTTCCGCTAGGAGAAAGTAACCCAAACTCAGGTTAAGCCACTGATGACACCTCAGCTATGTAGAGTTTACCTTTGCTCGGCGTACGCCCGAAACCGTGTAAAAAGAGTTCGAGCGCCTGCTGAAAGTTTGGCCGCGCTCGCTGAAAGAGATTATTTGCCGAGCGCTTGCAGAAAATGCTGCTGCCCGCTGGCAGAATATGCGACTGTAAAGGAAGTGCCGCCCGCTGAAGGTTTGGCCACGCCTTAAAATTTTGCTGACCGCTTGCAGAAAAGCCGGGTTTGTGGATCGCCCGAACCCGGCGACTAAACATTTGTTTTTCGTAAACTTTTCGTAGTCACTTCTTGTAATTTACAACATCTTCTCAGGAAAACGCCAAAACGCAACGTCGCTCAATGTTTGGAATATTGGCAGTACTTCCTAATCCGCTACTTGAAAGCGATATGAATTCTAATTTATAGTATAGACTGATAGGGAACATTACTTTGTTATGAGTATAAAGAAATTGACTTCTTTCACTTTTGAAACCAAGTTATTCATGTTTAAATTTAAGGCTTTTTAGACGATAGAAAACGCTAGAAAATGTAATAGGTAATGGTCTGTAGTGCTAGTAGAGGTGATTTGATATGTTAATTAGCTTGCTTACCCGTCTCCGCTCGGCCCTGTCAAAACACTGTAATAAAGGTCCCATCCCCATCCCTGTACAGCCTTTCCCTGTGCACACTTCTAAACTTCATTTAACGCTCCCTGTGTTGTTTTCGAAATCAGCATGCTCACTTACCCCCCAACCCCCTGTTCCAACTCCCAGCCCCGTAGCTCGAACTTTACAAAAATCGATAAAATCGATAAGTAATGGATAATTCCAGAAACTAATTTTGTATTCGCAATCGCCATGCTCACTTACCCCCTGTGCCAACTCCCAGCCCCGGGCTCGAACTTCGCAAAAAATCGATAAAATCGATAAGTAATGGATAATTTCAGAAACTAATATTGTATTCGCAATCGCTATGCTCCTACCCCCTGTACCAACTCCCAGCCCCGAGCTCGAACTTCGCAAAAAATCGATAAAGTCAATAAGTAATGGATAATTCCAGAAACTAATATTGCATTCGCAATCGCCATGCTCACTTACCCCCCTGTGCCAACTCCCAGCCCTGTAGCTCAAACTTTGCAAAAAAAATCGATAAAATTGATAAGTAATGGATAATTTCAGAAACTAATATTGTATTCGCAATCGCCATGCTCATACCCCCTGTACCAACTCCCAGCCCCGAGCTCGAACTTCGCAAAAAATCGATAAAATCGATAAGTAATGCATAATTCCAGAAACTAATATCGTATTCGCAATCGCCATGCTCACTTACGTCCCTGTGCCAAGCCCCAGCCCCGTAGCTCGAACTTTGCAAAAATTCGATAAAATCGATAAATAATGGATAATTTCAGAAACTAATATTGTATTCGCAATCGCCATGCTCATACCCCCTGTGCCAACTCCCAGCCCCGAGCTCGAACTTCGCAAAAAATCGATAAAATCGATAAGTAATGGATAATTCCAGAAACTAATATTGTACTCGCAATCGCAATCACTTACCCTCCCCCCCTGTGTCAACTCCCAGCCCCGTAGGTGAACTCTGCAAAAAAATCGATAAAAATTGATAAAATCGATATCGATCGATAGCGAAAAGTAGCCTATGACACCCGCCACGCTCCGAAGTGTATGTGTGCCAAGTTTGGTCCAGATCGTTTGAGAAATGGAACTTTCTATTCAGAACATACGTACAGACACACACACACACACACACACACACACATACACACACACATACACACAGACACACACACAAACAGACATTCAGCTTTATATATAAGAATTATGGAAACTATACTCAATTTACACAGCAAGCTTCTTTGGTGACTTTAGTAGTGTCAGATAAGGGATGGAGAATTGAAATTTGGCTGAAACTTCGATGGGGTCAATCAATATGCTGGTCAGACAGTCATTCCTACAGTTCTACCTATTGGAGTTGTGATATGCATCAGTCTGAAGCTTTTCTCCTTCACCTTTTTCAATGCGATTCCTCTTGATTACGATTTTCTTCTTCACCTTCTTAGTTTTTTTATGCCATTCTTGATTACGACTCCCCCCCCCCCTCAGTCTTACCACCAATATGACCCCCCAGGTCGGGCGCGCCTGACCTCACGCTCAACTGATTGTTAGCACAAGTGGAGATCATCTACACGTACAGGTTTCACGATATGTTCTCTGCTTTCTAGCCCAAAACCATAGAGATTCAATTGTCCCCAAACCATCTATGCCGGCTCTGACTGCGTCGCGGGCGCGAGCAGTCGCCTTCCAGTCGCCAATCCGTTTGTTTCAAAGGCCACTCTTTCAGCATTATAGGGTCCTTTCATAAAGTTGTGAATTTATGGTAGGGGTACAAAATCTGAAATTTGGCTACAATTCGGTCTAGGTTTTATTTCACATGCTGATCACAACCATCATACTCTCTTTGCTTTCTGGGATCTTTCCGTGGAATTACGGTCGATATATGTGGCAGGGGGTCAAAATCATAGACCTGCGTTAAAATTAGTACAGGGAGGTCATGACTTGCTGATCACAAAAATCTTGTTCATTTCGCATGACAGCCTCTAGGTTTTTTGTGATCTCAGTGAGCCGAAAGGCAAAAAATGTCACATGCTACAAATTACAGTAACTCCACAATAACGAGTTGCTGCAGCGAGCGAGCATGATATCGTAATAGCACGCTTGAAAACCCCTCCAGGCAAGGTTTTGAGCAAATTTGGAACCACGTCCCATCTACCGTACACCCACCGTAATAACAAAATGGAGCTATTTTGAGAAATCGTATGTTAATTATGTTTAGCAGGCTAAACAATCCCTAGGTGAAATTTAGGGCAAACGTGATTTCACCCTCATACCGTATACCAACTGTAATTCCATGAGAAGGCCGCAGAATGCAGAAAGATTATGGTATTCGTGATTAGCACCTCAGAAAACCACTAAACCAAATTTCAGCCAAAACTAAATTGATTCTTCCACGTATACCCACCGTTGCCCCACCAAATGGCGTTGTGAAAAAAGAATGTAATATTCGTGATTCCCATCGACCGAGTTTTAGCCAAATTCACGACTTTGAAATTTTGGGCCGGACACAGAGATAACACCATTCGAGCTTCCCCGCAAGAAAATCCAGTCTAAGTAAACATCTCGTTTCCAAAATTTTTATGCCAGAGCGCGAGTCTCCTTTTTTCTGAAAGTTCTCTCTATCTTTATTCGAAGCATGCTATGCTGCAGACGATAGTGGAGCACTTTCCATTAGTCTGCAGCATGTTGTGCGTCATGGTTTGAGTCATGGTCGGCTAACATATGCACTATAAAGCAGATATTTTATATATCAGGTCATTCCGAAAGTAATTTTGCTTTTTTCAAACGGACGCCACATGTGATGGAACAAAGGTTTTCAAGAGATCTTGAATGCATTCGATGCAGATTTTCATTCTCTTTCTAACGGTTATGCAATGTTGCAAAACAATCAATGATCTTTCAGAAAATAACCAAAACCTGCAACCCATGCTTTTTGAGATGGTCAAGTTTTATGTTTTTTTTAAACTTTCATATTAATCCTCAAAAGGATTGCAAGTAGCAATTCGATAGAGTAAACCTTACAAAATACACTACTACTTTTTTCTCTTCCTTGTATCTCGCCGTAATTTTTTGAAAGAATTTTTAACAAAACCATCGGATTTTGGCAGGCCCATCTCAGCCACAATAGCAAACATCAAACATCACAATTTTTCGGAATTTGAGACTACCAAGATAGTATTATGAGTTAGCATAAATTTTACAAAGCATGTGAGGGTTTACGGGTTCGAAATATCAAATTTCGAGTTTTTCGGGTACAGCCTGGGGCTCGCTAAAGAAATGAGTTATGATAATTTTGTCCCCGGAAACTAAACGAATCGGAAACAAAAAACACCTGTTAGAATGAGGAGAAAATGCTGCATCGAATAGTGTGCGAGCTGCTCTTCTTTTGATGTTCTACGAGGATTTAGCTGCTCAAGTACGGAAATCGGTAGCATCAGTTAAAATTCTGTTAAAAATGTATGACAAGCTATGGAAAGGAGAAAAAAGTAGTAATGTATTCTGTAAGGTTTACTCTATCAAATCATTAATTGCAATCCTTCTGAGGATTAATATGAAAGTTTTAAAATCATTAAACTTGACCATCTCAAAAAGCATGGGTTGCAGGTTTTGGTTATTTTCTGAAAGCTCATTGACTGCTTTGCAACATTTGCATAACTGTTAGAAAGAGAATGAAATTCTGCATCGAATGCTATCAAGATCTCTTAGAAATCTATGTT